ACAACAGCAGCAGCAGCAGCAGCAGCAGGGGGAGCAGCAGCAGCAGCAGCAGCAGCTGCAGCAGAATGGGTTTATGGGGGATAAACCCCCACCCACCTCTGTCTTCTCTTTCTGGGGTATTGTCTCTCTCGTAGGCCAGGCGGTGCTGCACGTATGGTGTCTGGCGCGGGCCTGGATGTTAGCTCGTGCGCTGCGCGACAGCACCAGCAGCAGCAGCAGCAGCACCAGCAGCAGCAGCAGCAGCAGCAGCAGCAGCAGCAGTGATGAAGAAGATATATTCCAGCCAGATGCTGTGAACACAGCCACTTTCTATCTGGTGCTGACGATGCATATATCCACTTTCTTAGCTAACTATGAGGGGGCCCCATGGGCCCGCCCTTTGCTGCAGAACGCGAGACTAGGAAAGATGCTATTGGGGGGGTTGCTGCTGCTGCTGCTGCTGCTGCTGCAGCTGGTCCCGCCCATCAACGAAGCACTAGAACTCGTACTGTTCCAAGACAGCAGCATCCTGTTGCAGCTGCAGCTCCTCGTTGCTGCAGATATAGTGGGCCCCTGGCTTGTTGCTGCTGCGTGTAGAAAGGCAGCAACATTCAGACAGGGGCCCCTCAAACGCCTCTCGCTGCAGCAGCCGCAGCAGCAGCAGCATTAGCAGTAACAAACGCACCTGTGTCCATAGCTGCTACAGGAGCAGCAGCTGCTGCAGCAGCAGCTGCTGCAGCAACAGCTATTGCAGCAGCAGCTGCTGCAGTAACAGCATTTGATTCTTGGCGGTTTGCCCTATAGACCTATTTTATTTGACCATTTCTGAATATTTTGTTGGCTAGCTACCCAGAAAGCTAGCTAGCTAGCTNTTTTATTTGACCATTTCTGAATATTTTGTTGGCTAGCTACCCAGAAAGCTAGCTAGCTAGCTAGCTAGCTAGCTAGCTAGCTAGCTAGCTAGCTAGCTAGCTAGCTAGCTGACTAACTAGCTAGCTAAGTAGCTTCGCTCTATAGCTCCTTGGCTAGCTGCCTCTGCGGCTGACACGACTGAAGACGCCTCACAAAGCCTGCAGCTGCTGTCCCCGCTGCACTAACCCACCAGCTAGCCAGCTAGCTAGCTAACTAGCTAGCTAACTAGCTAGCTAGCTAGCTAGCTAGCTAGCTAACGCATGAGAGATATGCCAGCTAACTGTTAGCCTTAAATAACATTTCCTCAAACAGCCAATAAAGGACAGCCCCAAGACTGCTCCAGACGCTGCTGCTACAGCAGCTGCTGCAGGAGCAAGTATACCTGCTTTCGTAGCAGCAGCCGCTGCTGCCATCA